CTGTTTTCTGTTTCTTCAAGTTGCTTTCCTATGTGCACAGCAGTAGTTTGCTCTGTTGCAGCATCATCTAGAAGATGGACGGCTTAACTTTATGCCTCATAAAATAAGGTTTTATTTTTCTCATTCCTTGACTTTCAAACCATTGGGTTAAGTGAATGCAAGGTGCTGCATGACACACATATAATTTTGCCTAGACATGTGAGCTGCTACAGTATTTTATTTATACTGCTTTTATTTTGTTTACAACCTTGAAATCATAGAATCAGATAATTGTTTGGGTTAAAAGGGACCTTGAAAATCACTGAGTCAATTCCTCTGCCATTCAATAGACCAGATTGTTCAAAGCTCCATCCAGCCTGATTTGCAACACTTCCAGTGATGAGACATCCACAACTTCTCTGGGTAACCTGTTCCAGTGCCTCATGATCCTCACTGTAAAAAATGTCTTCCTTATATCCAATCTAATTCTACACTGTCTCAGTATGAAACCACTGACCTTTGTCCTGGCACTACAGGCCTTGGTAAAAGCCTTTCTAAGTGCCCTTTAGGTACTGGAAGGCTGCAATAAGGTTTTCCCAGCACCTTCCCTTCTCCAGACTGAACAACCTCAACTCTCTCAGCCTTTCTTTGCGGGAGAGGTGGTGTTGTATGTATGTGAATGTATGAAATACCTGTGTGTGATACAAATCATACTTTGTAAAACAAGTTACTGTTAAAGCATAGAACAGAGATAATGCTAACATTTCATAGTGTGCAGTAAAAAGACAATTCCGTCTTTTTGAGAATCAGGTTAATTAATGGAGAGAAACTCTCTCAAAGGAGGGCTTGGAAAACCACATACTTAAAGAAAAGCAACTAGCAGTTTCTGAAGCAGTTGATGAGCCCCATCAATTGAAATTAGAAGTGAAATGCTGGCCACGAGTCACTAATAACCCTTCCGAGTGCTTCCTTGCTAGACTGACCTAAGAAGAAACACCTGAGGATAGAATGATGTATGAGACAGGGATGCATTTATGACTTCTGAAAGGGAAAGAAGGCTGGAACAAAATAGGACTGGGATACGAATGGGCTTGGGGAGAATTCCTGTGAAGAAAGAAAACTGGAATTCCAAACAGGAAGGCGGCTTAGTATTCAGACTGACTTGAAAAAATGATTAAGAAACTGAATACAATTTGAAATGGAGAAAGGGAAGGATAGTGAGTACAGTAAGTTGAAGAAGGTTTTGTCCTAATTTTTCTTTTACTTGGCGAAAGTGTGACATGCCATTAGTTTCTCTGAGTTGTGTCATTTAATTCTTTCTCTGATTCCAGAGCTCTATCAGCCAGCAACCTACCAGGTATCAGAAGACGGCTCGTTTCAAATTGTGGATGAGAAGACTGCAGATAAGGTAAAAAGTTTATAAAGAACATAATCAATATAGTAGAGACCCTCAAACTGAGCATATTGATTGATATTTAGAAATCCTTTATTACTTGGAAGAGAACACCCAGATATTTTGCTTGTATTTTACTATTTGCAAAGGATACCCAGCTTCCAAAAAAGATTTTTAATGCACACCTGAAACCATTGATAGCATAAATTGTCTTCCATGCACCAAACTTACAGTTCCAGTTTTAAATGCATCAACAATAAACAAATTGATTGCATTCAGACTGAAATAGACTCCTCTACATTCACTTTCTTTTGACGTCTACTCAGATCTACATTTTGCTCTACAGTAGTATCACACAGTGCAATAAAACATATCTATCTCAATGAATAAATTGTATTTTCTTAGTAGTAGCACTGTTTATTTGATTAAAATGAGGCACTTCACAAAACCTCAGTAGAATCTAATCTCTTGCCTTTTACCTCTGCAATGTGTGAGTAATGCTACAACAGAACTTGAGCTGGGGCTTGTTCTCCGTTTCCAGAATGGTGCTCGTGGAATGTCATTCCTGTAACACATTAAGGTGGAGTGGTGAGGTTAATAATTCTGTAGGGCATAGAAGAAATTAATGCAGGCAAGAGGGATTTTCCAGCAACAAGAGGTGTTTTAGTTGCTGGGAATAAAAATTAGACCAGAGAGCTTAAGAAGAAGAAAGGAATTTATAAAAAGACTGGTGCAGATAAAGTATTTAAGTACTGAATGTAGGAGGAACGAGTGACTTAAGGGGCTGGAGGTGTTTTGAAAGTATACCACGAGACTGCAATCTCATGGATGACATTTATCGCCTTTTCCCTATTTAGAAATCCATCACTGAAGGAGGCAAATTTTTGCATCCTTGACCTGTTCCCAGTTGCATGTGGGAAACTGTGTAGCTGTACATGTTTTGCTAGATAAAGTACATGTTTTGTAACCTAGTAAGTTTGACTATCAGTTGATTTTCTGGAAACTTGCTGGAATTTTTTGCCAGGGTCAGTACCATATGCACAACATTCTTTTGCCTTCAGGTGCCCTGGATCCCTCTGGACCCCTTGAACCCCAATCTGGAACTGTATCCAGAGTATGCTCAGGCACAACCTTTGCAGTGTACAGTGAAAGCTGGTGAGATGTTATATCTGCCTTCTCTCTGGTTCCATCATGTTCAGCAATCACATGGCTGTATAGCAGGTAAAAGACACAGTATTTCCAGATACATTTTTGAACTGTGGTGGGTGTGCAGCTAGATATCCCACAACAAAGCATCAGATAACTTTCAAGTTATCTGCCTCTCTGCAGGTTGAAATAACAATCTCGGCAGATCCCATGGGGCTGCCTCCTTGCAGCCTGTTTTGTGTATAATTGGTGGCTTGGTTGACAAGTGCTTGGGATGTAGCAGAAGACAGTTTTTCTAGTTGTCAGGTCTGGAGAAGGATAGCTAATGCAGTGATCATGATCCAGTTTCTGTTTAAGACATGGAGTAAGCAGTTTGTCTGTCTAGCCTGCTAACTGGAACTGGTCATCTATGTATGTTTTGCGAAGAAACTGCATGTAGCATGTGCCATTATCACGTGGCAAAAAAGCCCGAAACCCTGGAGTAAGAAAAGGAAACCAGAAAGTGAATGACTTCTAGGCATAGATGTAGACACACCATGAAAGATACTGTTTTCATGTGAGCTGAAATGTTCTGACCCAGTCTCTTATCTTGCTAATAAGCCTGTATTTGTTATTGTTCCCCTGCACTTATCAAAAGTCTTGTTGTCTCTTTATTTGTAGGATTTATCATCACCTCTATGTCTCTTTTTTTTTTTTTCCTTCCCCAAGAGAGTTCCAGAATTGCAAACATTGTTCTTTTGGTGCAGGTGGAGAGGTGGGGATACTGCAAAGTATTATTGTGATGTCATGTGTATTATTGTGATGTCATGAAAGTTTTGCAAGGTTTGAGGAAGGGATTTTGCTGTCCTTTACCTGGAATAATGCTGTCTGTCAAGAAAAAAGTATTTTGAACAACACAACATTAGTATTAGTGTAACACTGCAAATATTGCAAGCCCTTTTTGTCAGTACTTGTGATTCTGTGATAAAAAGACAAGCTACCAGTAAAGCAGTATTTCTGATTCTCTTTCCCCAGCACTGTTGCCTCAATCCTCTAAAAAATCAGAAGATGTTTTAGAAAAAGTAGTGTTGTTTCCAGCTGCAAGCCTCTGGCCATTCTTTTTTTTCTGCATTTAGAAGAAATGCAAAAGAGTTTGAGTTTATTTGACCTTTAGTCTGTTAACTGCAGTACAGTCTGTACACACTTGAAAAATCAATATTCTCTGGGTCTGGTCCAGTGAATGTCTGAAGCTAGAGTATATCCTCCTCCAAGAGGCATTGATACAATATTACACTTCTTGGCTTAGTTTTTCTAGGAAACATACACCAAAATTAACACAAGAAACAGAACTAAAGCACTGTCTAATTGATGGCCATTGTGAAGTAGTGGTGAATTTCCCATCCTTTATATGGGAAGAAGGGTTCCTATCCAGATATTAAACTTTGTGATTTTATATTTTGTGTATAAACAGAACCATATGTTTTTTGTTCCTAAACATTTTGTCAGCTTGTGCTTCAAGGAATCTCCAGTATACAGTATGAAGAGGAGTAGGTTTGGGTTAAGAAAGAGTTGCACTGGCAGCACTATTAAAGAACACCACTGTTTGCTTATGTTATTTTTGGCTGTAGTCAAAGATTTGCTCATTCCAAAGTTCGGTCAGTAATGAGGAAAAGCCTGTACTAACTGAGCTGTGTAAAAGTCTATGAACATATTTGTAAATCATTACATTCTAGCCTTAGAAATGTTTTTCCTTTTTCTTGTCTCCTCAGTGAATTATTGGTATGACATGGAATATGACCTTAAGTACAGCTATTATCAACTACTAGATGGTCTCACAAAAGCTGTGAAAATGCTGTAGCAGAGATGGGAGACTCGAGCATGTGATCTCTCTTTCTGATGCGATACAATCGTCAGCATCTTGTGACTGGAGTATGAACGTGACTGACACAAAAACAACTGAATTATCGTCAACAATGCCTGCCAAACAGATCATGGCTACTTTGCTTGATTTCAGAGTCCAGGTCAACTGGCCAGATTTTTTGGCTTGTAAGGAGAAGGTTTGATAATAGCACTTTTAGGCCTTTGCATGTTGCCTCCGTGATGGTGAGCAAGATAGAATTTGAAGGGAGGCAATCCAGGTTTTGAAAATCCCAAAGCAGAAGCCCTGACTGTTCAGATCTACACGTTGTTTTCATAACAACCCAAGTGGACAAGGAAGGATCTGCTCTGCCCCTCACCTGTGCATCAGGCTGCATCTGTCCAACACATGCATTCTGCTTAAGGCAAAAGTCTTGCACAACTGTAATTCACTAAGTTCAGTGGCTCTGGTGTTTTAATGGTGGGAAACTACAATTTCTGGAATAAATAGATCAGTTTAAAAGTTTATTTCTGTACTATTTTTTTTTCCCAAATGAAATGATGGCTAAAGGACATCTAGGAGGTCATGCAAAACTCAATGGCTACTTTCCATGTTAAGCTAATAGTTTTTATTACTAGTTTTTACTTCTTTCCACTGTTGTATTTAAATGTAGCTACATTCTCTTTCATCTCGAGGGGTGGTTTCAGAGTTTCCTTGCCAGATCTACAGTCCATCTGCACATCATCTATGGTCTTGTGGCATGACGTGCGATTCTGCAGCCTTATTCTGTGCCAATAATTGCTGCCTAACACGTGGTCAGGCGAGATGTGTGAACCAGGAGCCTATTTCTGCAGCCTCAGTTCCGATTTGTATTCCACAGAATGGGTTGAGACTTCTCAAATGTCTGAGACCCACAGAGTAGGACTAGAAGGCTATTAAATACACAAACATTGCAAAAGTGTAATATAAATAATATTAAAAAAACCAAAAGATAGTGTTTATAGTCAAATCTTCAAACAGTTCCTTAGAAACATTAGCAATATGGGGAAATTTATTTTCCGTGTATTAATTAGGAAAATACAGATACCCTTTAGACAAGATTGATTGTGAAGAAAAATGCAGGGTTTTTTTTACTGTGTCTGTTTCTTTTGTTTTTTAAAGAAACATAGCATAAAATTTCATTTTATCTTGGGGTGCTTGTCCAAAAATTGCTGAAAGCTCAAGAGGAATTAAAAGCAGGCTTTGTTTCGCAGCTAAATTAAGGTCTCACGTTACTTCAGACTTTCCAGCTTGTTTGTGTTTACTGTGCCTTGGCAGAGGTGCCCAAGCCAGTTCTGCAGTCAAATCTGGAATTGCCTGCAGTCGGGGTGGAAAGACAATTTGAATATCTTTTTGCTACTTTGAGGATTTTCATTTAGTCTCTTTCTCTAGTCAAAAGTAACACCACACGCCAAGAAGTGACAGCTTGTGTCTGTGCAAGTGGACGGTGTTACTGTGCCACCTCTCTGCCGGAGTGTCTGGAGAGAGGCGTGCTCTGAACTACGTCTCCCAGCAGCCCGCGCTGGCCGACTGAAGGAAGTGGTCATGGTGGGTCTTCCTGAACTTTGGGCAGAGATTTTAAGCCTGAGAAGCGAAGGTCTTCTGACGGTGCTGTCTCACGCAGTTTCACACGACCCGTGTCTCGCCACAAGAAAGGTCCGCTGGGATGGCAGTGCAGGTGTTGGTCCTGCCTTCCCCCAGGTGTCTGTTCGATGACCCTATGCAGATCCGTGTGGTGGGTCTCCGGCCGCAGCAGGCGGTCACCCTTCGAGCCAGCCTGGTGGACGAGAGCGGGGAGCTTTTCCAAGCCCACGCTCTCTACAGAGCTGAGAGCAGCGGAGAGCTCGACCTCAGCTGCTCCCCAGCTCTGGGGGGCAGCTATGTGGGAGTGGAGCCGATGGGACTGCTGTGGTCTCTGCAGTCTAAAACGCCCTATAAGCGGCTAGCAAAGAGGAATGTCCTGACCCCTTTCTGTGTGGACTTGGAAGTGTATGAAGGCCATGGGGACATAAGCCGCTTGCTGGGAAAATGCACCAACGAACGATGGTTTTTAGGAGAGGGGGTGAAGAGGATTTCAGTCAGAGAAGGTCGTCTGAAAGCAACCCTCTTCCTCCCTCCTGGTGAGTTTTAATTCCATTCTGGTTTACCAGGTGTGACTTATACCACATATTGTGCCCCGTGTCCCCTGGATACACTCAGCAACTCAGAGCAAAGCCTCAGCTAATGATTCTCTCAGCCTGTGCATGGTCCAGATACTTGGATCCTCACAGCAGAGCAGGGAGGAGCAGGTGTTGCCCAGTCGGGTCAATGGCTGAGGCGGGAGTGTAGTGGTGCAGGGAGGGCAGTGGTGGTAACACAAGATGTCTCCTGGTTCTTCTAGTTGAGGCAGGTCAGGACCTCTCCTGTGGTGAGAGCTCTGGCAAAAACTGTGTTTATTTCTTACCTCTTCTGTGTAGCTGACAGGACAGAGAGGCCCCTGGGCTTTGGCAGAGCTGTGATACATGACAGCTCTGGCTGTGGAGTGAAGAATGATGAGGCATGGTGGGAGCACCATGCAGCCTAGGCTGCTCCAGCAGCTGCCATGGATCTTCCTACAGGCTCTGGACTTGTATTTCTGTCTCTCTCTTTAGCTAAGGAAGAGTCAAAGCAAGAAGTCTCTACCTGGTTGAGCAGCTGATCTATGTGGGATATTTAGGAAGATGGGAGACAAATGGGAAAATCAAGGTCTTAAGTAAACTGGTGCCATATTCCACAGCTTCATACAGAGACACTGCTGAGACTGGATCCTGTGCAAAGCTGCTTTGAGCCGTGAAGTGTTTCAGTTTCTTGAGCAGAACTTGAACATGGCTGTCTTGCTCTGTAATTAATAAACAGTTCCTTACAGCTGCTGCAACATCAAAGCTTGTAAGGGAAGTCTGGCTATAAGAATGAGCAGAGCAGCATCAGGAAAGGAAGGTCCTATTGCTGCAGGAGGAGAGCTGAGGAGCCCAGGGGTAGTTACCTGTATCACACTGAAGCCTGAATTGCCATAGGTTAGTGCTGGTATTTGTGAGTATATTTCATAACCCAAGTATTCCCTCCCTGGCAAAGCTAGCACAGTTCCTAAAGAAGTGCTGCTCATGCAGTGATACTGTTTATTCATTGATCCCCAGTGACCTGAAAACATCTAGGCAAATGTCAGCAAAATTCATGATGGGAGAAGGATGTCCAACCTATGACTTCCTATAATGAGTTTCTAAGAGAGAAAAGAAATATCCAAATTCATGTCCTTACAGTGATTTTGTGTGTGCCCGAGAACAACAGCCACCACAAAAAGCTTCAAAGGATCATTTCTTCTGATATCTACTGACATGTGCTGAGAGGGCACTACTGAAGTGACAGCTTATCTCTCTGGTAGTACACTTTGCTATACATACCCCTTTGTTGCAGGACCTGGTCCGTTCCCTGGACTTATTGATTTGTATGGATCTGGAGGAGGTCTTGTTGAATACAGAGCAAGTCTCCTGGCTAGCAGAGGCTTTGTGACTCTGGCTCTTGCTTACATGGCCTTTGAAGATATCCCTACTACTCCAGAGGTTCTTGAACTGGACTATTTTGAGGAAGCTGTGAACTTTTTGCGGAAACAGCAGCAGGTAAGAGACAAGTTATGGTGTTCTTCCTGTTGGAAACTATTTTGCAGTTTTCTAGTTGGAATAGTGTATGTCACTGAATGCAACAAAGTTTCTGAAATGTTAGAAGGAAACAACATTGTCTGAAAGACAATGTGATCTTGAGAGATGGAAAAGCATGTGCTTCAACTCAAATTTTGCAAGTAGCAAAATTTTGCACAGCATCTTATAACAGTCCAAAACATGCTGGCAAACCAGATTTGTGAAAGATTAAATCAAAGCAGTTCGTGGACTAGAAGTACAGAACTGCTTAAGCAGTAAATCTTAATTTTTCCCAACTTTTGCATCTTTCAAGATTTTAGAGGGGAAAACAATCCATTGACTATATTACAGGCTTTTGATTCTGTTCCACAAGTGTCCTTCTGAAGTTTCAAAAGACAATAATAGAAAACTTTAACAAAAGAATCCCTTACAGTTGTAGCACTGGAGGGTGTGACACATCTTAAGCTGAGGCTGTATTTGAAAAAGTGTGGGGGATAAAAAAGACACTTAATAGCAATGCATCATCATACTTCACTCAAAAGTGACCAAGAGATACTAAGTAGCATCTAAAATTTTAATAGAGTGCTGCTTAAAGAGGTATTAAGTTCACAAAGTTATTTCCTTTCTAGCACATGGACACCAGGATTGTAGCCAGTGTGAGAGGGGAATTCAACCTTGCTTGTCTTCTTTCTCATAGAGCTCTGAAACGTCTAGATTTTGACATAAAGGGCCTTCACTATCAAATCAGTTGATTTAAACAGCTCTTGGGGTCACTGAGCCTCAGGTGTAATGAACCTTACATCTTCTAAGGCAAAACAGAAAATAACAGGTCAACTGTAGGAAAGTATTAAAAAAATGGCAATAAAGAAATTTATTGCAAGTAAACCCATGAAGAAGTGGTTTGGAGATAGGAACAGTAAAAGATTCCATATCGAGACCGCATGTCTAGCCAGGATGTGGAGGGAGCAAAGAGGCTTTGTCTTTAGAAGTCACCAGGAAGGAAAAATCTTACAGGAGAAGAGATGTTGAGGAGCTGTGGAATTCATAGTCACTCTTGTGGAGCCTCAGCAAAGGGATAGATGAAGGATTGATATAACCTGAACAGTGAGAGGGAAGGGGCAAAATATAGGTGGTCTTAGAGGGCTGAGTGAGAAAGCAGAACATTATGTCAGCTCAGGAAATAAGTAGTTGATAATGTTTTCATAACTCTGTTTCAGGTGAAAGATACCGGGATTGGTGTTTTGGGCTTGTCTAAAGGAGCTGATCTAGCCCTTTCCATGGCCACATTTCTACCTGGCATCAAGGCAGCTGTCAGCATATCTGGAAGTGGTTTTAATTCCTTCATTCCCCTGAAGGGGAATGGCTTCACTATTCCTCCCCACCCATATAATCTGGAGAGGATGAAGATCAGTGATGAGTCTGGCCTAGTAGATTTTTCAGATGTCTTAGATGATCACAGGGACCCAACAACTTGGGTTTGTCGCATTCCAGTGGAGAGGTCCTTAGCCAAGTTCCTGTTCTTGTCTGGACTGGATGACACAAACTGGAAAAGTGATCTCTATTGCCAGAATGCTGTTCAGCGCCTTCAGCAGTGTGGACGGGAAGTGGAGTTTTACTCCTATTCTGGAGCAGGGCACCTCTTGGAGCCACCATACTTGCCTCTGTGCCAGGCTTCTATCCACAGAGTGCTTGGGATGTTTGTGTGTTGGGGAGGGCAGTGGAGAGAGCATGCTAAAGCCCAAGAAGATGCCTGGCGCAGGATACAGGCCTTTTTCCGGCAGCATTTGATGGACTCAGACATCCCTAAGAGCAAGCTATAGTGGAAGTTGTCAAAGATGCTGACCAGGGTTGGTATTTCAGTACTCACTAAATCTTGGAAACTCATCAAAAGTGTCCTGGACTGCCTTCCTCTAAACCCCACTGTTGCATCATTGTTTATTTTCATTCTCCTAATAGTTTTCCACTTAGTTGAATTTCCATTTGGTTGAATTTCGGTTGACTTCTGACCACAGCTTCACTGTATATTGACACCATCTGGTCTGCCTGTGTGCTGTAGTCTGACCTGGCATCCCATCATGTAGATTGCATTTGTAATGAGCTATTTTTGCCCTCAATCTGCAACCATCTCTTTTCATAAGAGGAAATACTCTCACAGGAGTTTTCCACTGAATTATTTAGGAATATTATTTCTATAGGAAACTACCATTAAAAATAAAAATGCTTTCTACCAGCAAATCAACAATGAGGTCACAGATGCTTTCATACAGTTGTCACGCTCAGCCATCAGGTTCAAGGAAAATGGTGTTGAAACTAGAGGATGAAGGGAGCTGACTGGTGACTCCATTGACAGTGATAGCACATGGGACCTCTTTGGTTTTTTGTTCTGGAATGAAAGCTTTGCTACCCAGTTAAAAGCCCTTTATTTGTCATTTGCATGGAAGCTGGCAAGAAAGACTGAAAAAGCTGGTTTAGCTGAGCAGCTCTGTGCACATAATGGAAAATATTCCAGCCAATTCACTTTCACTGGGAATACTTTTAAAATGAAACTCAAATTTGAAACTTATCTTCAGGAAAAAGGAACTGGACGCAGACTAATATAAAATAATTGGAAATGGCTTAATTTCAATAAAATGCTTCTCTCTGTTCTTGAGCATGTTCTTAAGTATTTTGCTGAAGACTTTGATATTTAATGTTTCTTCTGCTGAAGAGATGATTTAGACAAATAGGGCTAGAGGGCTAAGATCACATTCTTTTTCCAAGTTAATAGCAAAAATTCTACTAATTGCAGCCTGTTGAGTCAGGGTGATTTATATAGTTTCTCCAGGTCTACTGAATACAGACAACATTATTCAAGAACAATGTGAATTATTCAATTAAAGATAATACACCTTTAGCTGCAAGAGATCCTCTGCCAAGCACAACTGATAAAACTAATAAAAATTGGATAGGAAAAGCTGGTCTTGTAATCTGCTTGTAATTGAAAAGTGCTTCAGATAAAATAGAGCATCAAAGAACTAGCTTGAACCAAAAGATCTCATCTTGCTTCTTACATAGTCATTCCTTGTTTAGCACTGCGCACTACATTTCTGTTAAGAGAATGAGAAAAGCTTGTGACAAGTCTCTTCAGAAACTGAGAATCTCCCTGCATGTAAGTTGCTATGAACAAGTTTATTACAAGGGAACAGTACATCTTGCGGTGCTCTTTTGGGGCAGGATGATTTCCCTAGCTAACTTGGAATCAGGCAACAATGGAGAGTGCTGATTTGCAAATGCGTTCTTAAAATTTTCCATCTTTGATTTGGTACAACTTTTGGTCTCTTTACATAGGAAAGAGACTATCCCAAAAAGAAGAGAGGAGTGCAAAAAAGCATGTCCTTGAATGGAACATCTCTGAACTCATCTTTAGCCTTATTGCTCAGAGCCCATGGAACTAAAATAATCTGGGCGAATGTGATCTAAGTTATATGAAGCTTATATAGCTTATTGTTTTTAATTAGGTGTCCCTGAAGCAACCCACAGACTGTGGACCTTTGGACACAGCTTTTTGTATCGCAGTGCAGATGATTTACTTTACACAGCTCTGTCCTCCTGGCCAATCTACTCAGTAACCCTTTGTGAAAAGCTCCAGGGAATCCTGACAGTTTGGAAATATATGGGCACCGCATGGAGCAATGTTCTCTGTACTTCTCAAGGCTTCTTGAAAAAGTTGTGGGGTTCTCTTCTCATAGTTTGCCATATATGTTGTAAGGCTGTGTATAGCTCAGGAAGAAAAAAGTTCTTGATGTTCTTTACTGGAGACCTGAAAGTACCAGGTCCAATCAGGTATGAGGTTGAACACAAGCAAAAACTGACCCTGAAGCATTTTGATACATGTAGAGGAAACTGCAGAAGAAAAGTAATCAAAGTACCTGTAAGCAAGAAATGAACCACAGGTACAGAAGACCTGAAACATCTTTGGCAAAGTAACTGCCTCTGCAGAAGTAGTGGGTATTTGAGACTGCAGTGGGTTTTTAGTAGGGACTGTGCTGAACAAGGACATTTCAGTGCAAATGTGCTCCTGTAACACCAGTGGCTTCTTACTCAGGCAAAACAGTGTCTCTGGATGGCTTCTATAAGCAGGGTTATTTCACAGCCACAGGACAGAAGAGATGAAGTGGAAGATGAGAATATACATTGTGTGGTGTAATTCAGAGGTGACTTTTCTCCATTTCTTTTTTCTGTTTCCTGTGTGTGTTTGGAAGTCTAAAGGTTTAGATTTTTTTTTTTAATTCAAAACTTAGTTCTCTAATACACTGCCAGATCATTTGTTATCAAGCTGAGGGGTAAGACCAACGTTTAATGACAAAATACAAATAGTAAAAAATTTTTTATAGCAGTATTTTGCTAAGAAATTTATAATTCTACCATTTCAGAAAAAAAAATCACTATTCTGTACTTTTTAGTGCTCCATATACATTATTCAAAAATGGAATCTGAACCAAATGTAATGTTAAGCACAGAGAAAGTGATACTTTACATTTGGCAAGAAGGAAGATTAATATTTCCAATGAACTAACACTCCTTGCAGCACTTACTGCAAAATATCCCTGCTACTTTTCATTGTCTAGGACAAAAACTAGAAATGCTAAAAGAGTCTTAAAAAATTGTCCATGCAAAATTTGCATTAAACCTAAAAATGTCTGGACCCTGACTTTAGATAGCACTTAGAAAAAATAATTAAGTGAGTTACATTCTATTTATGTAGGATTATATCTTTTTGGTGACTTCAGCCGCTGAACTTTCAACATCTTGTGTTTAGACTGTAAATATATGTTTGCATTAAAGTCACTTCAGTGAAAGGTGTGGTTTTATACTTTTCTTAACTGTTTTAAGAATACCTTGCTGCACAGAGGGACACATGCCTTTTTTCCTGGTTACCGATCTAATCCCGTGGAAAAAACCCAAAACACAAAAGATTAAAATGTTCAGCTGGATCAAAGAAGGAAGCAGCAGGAATGTGCATGGTGTTATCAGGAGAAGCAAGGGTGAGTGATTCTGTGCCTTTCAGGATCTGTGTGACCTTATGCCAAGGCAAGGTAATTGAGAAATTAGCAGAGTTTTTAGTTATGTTTGTAATCACTAGTCCACCTGATTCTAAATTGTGAGCCATTTCTGTATACAGTGAAGTGAATGCTTGGTGACTCATTGTGTGCTGCCCCCATTTACAGTGGATCTGGTCCTGAAGGAGTGTTCAGCAGTGGAGAAAAGATTGTGAAATGTGAATGTCAGATAGGAGACAAGCTGGATAGACGTTTCAAGGGAGATGTCCTGTACAGGAACAGAGCATGTGCATAACTCTGTCTTCAACTAGAAGAGAAGGTTCAAATGCACTGCTATCATTTTAATATGCTATGAATCCAGAAAGATAGTTTTGAATCAATAAACCTGTGCCATCTGCAAGAGTCTGTCCCTGGATAGTGTCAGTCTGACATTCTCAAACATAAAGCACTAACTCAAAATGGATGAATTTTTCTAGTCTAGGCACTGGCTGCAAAGAGCTTTGGCTCCAGCCATTCTCCCATTTCTGGATCATTTCAGATAAGAGATACATGTTGTCTTGATGCAGGAAGACTACTTTGATACCTAACAGCATCATTTCTGTTGTAGTGGGAGAGAAAGAGGTCAGGGGTCTGTACTTTTTGTTGGAAATATCATATCCAATTGCTGAAATAGCCCAGCAGTTACTGCTTCAATGCCAGTCTACATACCACTCCCTGTAAAGCTGAGACTTAGTCTCTTTTTAGACAGCAATGTACAGGGGCAACTATGTTCTTTCAAGCCTTCCAGGAGTCTTGTTCTTGCTGTGGCCATCTTCCCTCATCTGAGGGTGTAATGTCTGCTTTCTCTTTTTTTCTCTGTCTTTGGCAGTTTTGCTCCCATCTCACTGACCATGACCCAGGCCATTCCAATTCCAGGGCACTTTGCATGATCTGCTGATGGAGGGGGAGCACCCTCAGCAATATGTAAGGCCAAGGCCAGAAGGGTATATGATAACACTGGCAATGATGCTTTGACTGGTGAAGACTAGGAATATTATGTTGTCCGTTGAAAAATTCCTCACACTGGTCTTGTTTCTGGCAAGCTACCTTTAGGTAGGTCAGAAAGACAATTTTGCAGTGAGAATGAGACGTGTTTGGTATATTTATAGTGGCTAATGACTGTATGCAGCATGTTTTGTATGTGATCAGGAACACTGGAAAGTGCACCATATGTGGCACCTCAGCAGCAAGAAGTGAGATTTGGAGAGTGATAGGCCATTCAGATGGGTCATTCAGTCTGGGCTAATAGTTGACCTGAAGTAGTTTTTGTTAATTTAAATTTTGACCTAGTTTAGTGTTTAGTTTTTAAGAATTATTCTAAGGAGACCTTGAGGTGGCAGTTGTTTTGACATTGTTCATTTCTAGTTGAGTTTGCTATTACCAAAAGGAAGGCATGGGATGGCTTTGGTTGTGCTTGATTGAAAGTAACATCTGCAATAATCAGCTAGTTTGACCATGTCTGAGTGTAAGGGAGCTGGTGGTCACAGAACAGCCAAGTCTGGGTACAGAGCCAAGGGTTGGCTAAATAGCCAACTGTTATGATTGAGCAGGAGCAAAACACTGGGAAAATCCATTAGTATCACACTAGCAGAACTCAGGTATCTGTAGATACCATTCTTGTTCAAATCCAGCCTGCTCAATCTCCAATTTCTGGTGAGAGAACTTGCAAAATGGGAGACATCTGTGATTTGAAGGTTACCTCCCCATGTGACATCAGATATATATACAGATGACAGTGAAATTTGTACATAGTGATGTATGTAAATGATACAATTTGTCTTGGAGCAAGATGAAAGGGCAAATCTTTCAATCTGAACTGATTCTTTATGAGAATCTCCTATGCAATTAGGTTGATATTACATTGATAAATACAGCCAGTGATTAAGCTGCATTTGTTTACAATTCTGGATACTGAGCCTAAAAATTCAAGCATTAAGCAGGGACTTGGAAGTCACACTTTGACATTGTGCAGAATTTGAGAATGACTCTATCAGGTGGACTTGGTGCATTTGACTGCTGAGCAGTCAGCAGTTCCCTAGTTCCCTGCCAAGCACTGACTGTGACATGAATACTGATCTACTGTACTGCTCCTTGGTGCTACTGTCAGAATATTGCTCATACTAGATTTAAATCTGCAAAGAGATAAAGTGTATTTGTTGCTTGCATCAACCAATGTCCAGGTGTTAGAAAGATAAATTGCTTATTGATAGAATTGCCCTGTTAAGGTTTAGGGCTTGACATGCTTCAATGATCTCAGACCTAGGGGGAGGTTAACAAAGTTTGGGGAGAACGATGTACGACTACACTAGATGCAAATAATGCAAAATTTGTGGACCACAAGGACATTTGGCAGAACTCCCAAAATCTCCAGCATGTGGCTTTGGGCTGCTGTCAATGGACTGAAGAGACAGCATGCTGCTTTAGGTTTCGGGATGTTCCATGGTCTCCTCTCCTCCAATATAGGCAAATGCGATTAAAAAAAATCTTTGTGATGTATCTGTCAAACTATATCTGGCTGCCACTTTATCGTGAATATTCATAGTGCTGTTTGTAGTATGAGGTAGGTAAATGCTAACTGTAAACCCATCCAAAGCCTTTCATTATTCTGACAGCCTTAATTACCTTCCTGGCTTTTTTCTCTAGAAGGGGAAGACAGTTACATGCTACCTTTCCCTGTAAGTTCAGAATCAAGGTTAAAATCCTAGTTGTTGGTCCAGACTTATAAACAGACTGTGCTGTGTGTATTGGTGATTGATTATTGTGGCAGTGTTCAAGGCTTTAAATAAGAAAGGTCAGGTACCCTAGAGACTTCTGCTGAATACCTGATCATCTTTTATAGAATAATTTGTATGCTAGAAACATGGTGGCTGGTAAACACAGCTGTTCTGGTAAAAACTACTTCATTCACTTTGTGGGTTATCTTGCATCTGCAGGTAGAAAAAACAGTCAGACTCTCAGACACAATTCAACTAATTAAGCCACTGACACTAGCTGAGACACTATTGAAAAAAAAAGAATATATTCAAAATAAGAAAGTGATACAGATTGAGTGTGCTCTATTCTACTAGCAGGAAATGTGCAGTGCAAAAACAGCACATAGTGGTCACTGTTTGCCACATGGGACAATTGGGAAACAATAGAGAAAAAAATTCTTCACAGTGAGAGTGGTTAAACCCTTGAAGAGGTGCCCAAAGAGGTTGTGGATTCACTGTTGGTGTACATTTTTGACAGAATAAAAGAAAAGAGCAACATCATATTACTTTGGAATTTAGTCCTGCTTTGATCAGATGTTTGGACGAGATGACCTTGAGGGCCCTTTCTAATTTTTGAGGATTATAGGAAATAGTATATTCAGGTTCACTTTCCCCAGTGTGAAGTGCACTTGCCTGAAATAGAAAGGCCGGTTCATGAGGTGTTAGACACATGTTGTTTATCCTTTAAAATGGTATGTATCACTCATGCATTTTGTCCACAGTCAAAAGAACAGGTACTTGGACCCCTGGCTTCATTTAGCAAATGTATGAATACCTCAGGAGGGGATGCAGTAACTCCTCCTGTCTTCTGGAATGTGTACATGCTTTAGGCACCGTCTTTCATGGAAACTGAGGGATAAATTTAACCAGGCAGTGAATGCCACAGTTCTAGTCAGTTCTGTTGAGGCAGACATTCATGGGATTCCTTTCTTAGAAGAAGAAAGTACATACTGGAACTGAAATATTTTTTGGGGGTAGAAACAGATTCCAGTCTGAGAGGAACTAGTAGAGTTTTGTAAAGAGGCTACCCTTGGACCTAGCAGGCAAGTAATTCCATAGACTACTTGGGGATCTTAAAGATATCTTTAGGATGGTTTTAATGAGTGAATGCTGTGATTACTGTATGTCACGTAGAGTACTGTAAGTCAAAGTAGAGCTAAGTGGTGGAGGAGGTTTGTTAATTAATTAAAAGAACTGTAGCTCCTGTGGAGACACCAGTTCTTACTTTTATATTGCTCTGTTTGTTGTTCCCCACTGAAGATTTACAAATCCAAGAGAACCAGCTGGGAAGTGGCAGTGAGTGGATACGTATATACCACCCACAGCACATCTTCCATCCAAAGCTGTCAGTGGTTTTATATGCATATTGCTTCAGAGCAAAACCAAACCCTTGCTTACAAGTGATGAGAGATTTCTAAAAGCTGCATGAAATCCTGCCATAGAGCAGTTCTAGCTGGCTTGTACTGGAACAGAACAAAAAGATGATGCTTGAGAAAACTGAATGTGAGGCTGTCTTCTGACTGGTTCTTCATTTTGTGGTCTGGCTCATTTATGCCCTTCTCATCAGACTGTTTATTATGGTACAAGTCTCCCTATAAATTACTCCCATTGTCTTATTAAAAAAAAATGGAAGGAGAAAGGGCAAAAGAATATCCAGCAGAAGAATCTATACATTTAATTTGTCAGGAACATCCCCACAGAAAGGGAAGTTAGTTATTTCAAAATTGTCTAGATTTTATCAGGAACAGTGGTTTTGCCTTTTAAATCAAAACTCACCATGAAAGTAATTTTGTTAAAATGTGACCATGAAAAATTTGGTTATGATTGCCGGATAATAGTCCTGTCATAGCTCCTTATTCTTCTCAATCTGTTACTTTAGAGGTTTGTTCATAGTCAAAGGTCAATGCATTCAGCCCATAGTCACTGATTTATTGTGTCATATACTGTCACAAGTGATTTTCAATACTTTTTATCAAACACATTTTATCATCATGTTTTAGCTCTGTGGAAGGAAATACTATGCAGCTCAAACATGGTAGCTTTTTAAAAGTGATCCATTACAAGTCCTCTTGCCCACTATGTCTGAAGTGTTTTTTTCTAGTTTCTACTTTATGATGGGAAAATATGTAGAAATATTTTGCTCCAGTCCAGTATGTGCAGTGGAATTTCAGTATATGAAATACCTAAACTCAAAATCACAATGCACCTAGACAAGTCGTAAATCAACTAAAATAGAGGTATAAATTGTACATTTATAAAGAAAAAAAGAAAAAACCTGCATTTAAGGATTATCAGCTCTTAAATTTCTCCCCTTCGTAAAGGGAAGTATGTGAGTGTGTGTGAGAGGAGGGGTGTGGGTGTACATAAAAATCCATTGGAAAGGAGGGGGGAAAATGGAGAGTAGAAAGAAAAGGAAAAACAAAAGAGTATGGGTCACTTACAACTTGAGATATTCTATGATTAAAAAAAATCTGTTTAGTAATAACTTGTATGGTTTTTTGTAGAATGTAGGATCCCCATCAGAAATCTCCTTCTGCCAGAAGACACACATGTGCAAGTGAAATCATGATGGCCCAGGTTGTGACCAGATGGTTGGTTTCACTGTGCAGTGCCAGAGGTGAGTGGTAACCACTTCTAGTTCCGGGATTAGTAGAATAATCAAAGTGCCAATTGCTCAGCCACAAGGTGAACCCATTTTTCTCTGTAGATTAATGTAACTAAGGTATCAGCGGCTAACACAGAACACGGTATCTACTTACAAACAAGTCACTGAAATCTGTATTTCGTATGCCTTCTTAACTAAGAGGTTTTGCAATCAGTTATTGTTAGTACAGTTATTGTCTTGGGACGTTGACAGCTAATGCTTTTATGAAGAGGCAATAGCTGCTTTCCATCACTGAAGCTCTAGTCAGTTTATAGAAATTTTCTCAAAGTCTCTCACTTTGAGGTCATTGTAGAAAACAAGGAACAAGTTCTACTTGTTTCATGTCTTGTTGATTCCACTCAGATTTTTCAGTCGCTCATCAGAGGTGAAAATAATGTAGTCCTTTGTTTTCTAACTGCTAGAGAGTCCTGAGGTAAGAAAAGTATTAAAAAATAGTTTTTCTCCCACTGGGGAAAGGATTAGCACTTAGTTGCATAACTCCATTTTATCCTCTTAAAGACTGATGCTAAGAGTCTCCCTGAAATAGCCATTAAACTAAAAGCTGAGGTTTGGAAGGGTGATACTCATGCCTTGGCTGTGCCTGATGAGGTTCTCTCACTTCCCAGATTAGTGTTCTAATCACCAGGTTGTTTACTGGGACATGAGTGCTTATGATGAGTTCAGAAGAAAGTCTTGGGTTTTATTTCCTATTAGACCAATAGGTTTTGAAATCTTGTTATTTTTTCATAGGTGAGAGTTTTCTTTTATCAACAGTTACTTTACACATCATCTAATGCAAGGTGAGTCATTTGGTAATTTAGCTTCCTTAGGGTATATGGCTTATGGTGTGCCCTGTCTGTTTCCCTTGATTCATCTGGAATACTATGCCCAAAAGAGGAGGGAGGAAGACCAGAGATAAACATTAACTTTTTTCTCTTTTTTTAAAGTTGTCTCTAACTACTAAAGTGCTTTTTGCATAGCCTGAAAACACTGTCCGCTAGAAAAAGAACTGTTTGGAAAAAGCCAACCCCATTCATCTCCTTACATGGCTTTTTCCTCTTCTGAGGCCTGAGAAAAAGCTTTGAACCTGGAAGGTGAAGCCTAGTAGTTTCTAAGCAGCAAGGGTTCAGATATATTTGGACCAGACCTGTCTTCTCTCTCTGCTTCATTTGCTGCTTGTTCCATTTGCTTGTGGGTATTTTTATCAGTTGTATCTGCCTTGTTAGCCATGTAACAGACACCACACAGAGGATGATAATGGGATGAGGCAGGGAATACCACTGTACCTTTCAATTCACAAATTTAAGAAAAATAGCTTGAATTTTTACGAACATTCAAATTTTTTAAGTAATTTGCTCTCTGTCCTTTGCATATGCAGGTTCTCCCTTCCACTGGGTTGAGAGGAGAGTAGAATTTTTTAAGATAGTAAGTTATTATTCTTCTTCATTCCTTTCAGTTCTCCACATAAGGCTATTTGGCTTTCCAGTGCTTCTGCTTTTTTTCTTCTCCCTACAGAAGAACATAATTTTGCATTACCAATGAACATCAGACTAGACCTCATGGGCATGCAATTTCCTGGGCTCAGGAAGGAGTCCAGAGGTTAGTCTCATAAATCCTATGTGTGCTATGTGGCTCTTCCAGCTCTAAGCCATGTTTGGCAACAGGGTCATTTGTTCTAGCACTCACATAGTAGAACATGTTTCTTTTATGACCTCTGAGCAAGCTGGTCAGGGTAAATCACTGTACATACAGTCATGACTTGACCAATGCCTGTGCACATCTCCGATGCTTTCCTATTATTTTGTCTGTAAAATAGTGCAGAATTCTCCTTATGAGGTGGTGTTCCTGGATGACAGAGCCTCCTGCTACACATAAAAATAAGGACTGATTTTTCTGAGAGTCACCATGTATACAGATTCCAGAGTCAAGGAGATTCTAGATGGAATGTTTCTTAGTATAAGAAATACAGTTCTTCTGGAAGTAAATGAGTGTTTGTGGACAGTTCCTCCTTGCTGTGGTCTCCAGTTCTCCAGTGCAAGGTTCCATGTGGAGAAAATCAGGAATGCTTTTATTTGTGAGATTTTTCTTCATGTATTTTAGGTTTTCATTGAAGAGGTGTAAAGGCTGAAAACATATTTAAGGCTGTTTTCAATATTTTCATACCTCTGAAAGTGATAGTATATGGTTATGTGCCTCCAAACAGACTTTTCATCTAAAAAACCAGAAAAAACCCCCAAAAAACTCTGCCTTCTCAAAAGCCATTAATTGTCTAAAAAATGTTTCACTCAAACAAAAGATACTTTGATGAGCTTAGATGTCATGATATTGTTTGCTTGGCTGGCAATTCTGCAGCACCCTCAGCTCTGACTTCCTGCAGGTACCATAGAAACAGCAAGCACAGCATGTACCTACTTCCACTTTCAGGGAAGATCCACAGACCAAGCCACTGTGTTCTGTGGTTGCTCTCAGGCAACTAGAGGCCTGAGCTTTATCCCTCCTTGGTCCTTTGTTTTATTCTCCTCATATTTTAGTTTGTTTCACTCTGATAGGTTTTTTTAATTCTGCTTTTCTTTCTTTCCTCGTGTCTCTCATTAGAAGAATGCCAACTTTATTTTGAGCTCTCATTGCTGACAAAGTTTGCAAAACGAGTTCTTTATCTCTTATAATACAAATTATCAGATTATTTTGATGAAGTAGGTTGAAAGGAAAGGTATTAATTATCAGGTCTCAAGCTTTAGTCCAATTAGTAGGCTCTCAAACATACTTAGCACTGGTGTGGACTTAATGCCTCTGTGACTGTTTGGACTGCTGTTGCAACCTGAATCCATTCTGGGAGCAGACTGTATCAGAGAAGGAAGAGCCTAGTGTATTACTGCAATAGAGAGGAGATTATATATTAGGAAGATTTAAAGATTATATTTGCTTCAGGGCAGAAGGACTCACTCATTACTTCTGGTAGGTCTTAAGCCCTCCTTGTGAAATGAGGAAGAAATGGCAAACCCAACACAAACTCTTGTTCCAGAAGCGGGTTATATTTAAAAATAAAATATCTGTATGTCTGGAGCTGGGCTCTAAGAATATGGAGATGTAAATGCTGCCATGGCAAGGATTCCTGCTGGGACATACTCCCTTCGTGATCAACATTGTGACTGTCCATTTCCATACGTGGATTAAGTCTGAGAGAGAGGGTATGTCCTTGCCAGCTGTGGATTTCCAATGTATCCTTGGCTTACTACCATACCACAAAAAAACATGATCAATCCCCGAACATTGAATTCCTGAAGTCTGGATTCATAGAGGTTTTCTGACAGTATTCTACTATTTTTTTCTCATAAGTGCGTCTTCTACCCCTTTCAGAGGAAAGGAAGGATCTCTTTAGCAGTATTTGTCTGCTCTAAAGAGTTCTTGTTTCAGCTCACCAGGTGGAGTTCTGAACACTGTCTCCATGATTTTAACCACAAGATTATTATGAGACAAAATGGTACATATCCTGAAGGGCTTCCAATTGCTATCAGTGGAATTTTACAAGTGATCAGCCAAAGTGATCAGCATCTTATAGGAATGAATGCTGAGTGAGTATAGAGATTCATTTTTCCTCTTTCCATATTCTAGAATCATGATAGATATGAAGTCAGTAATGGATCAGTGGGGCTTTATGGGTTGGGGCTAGAGCATTTCTCTGTGCAGATTGGGTGTAATAATTTTTTGCTACTCAAATTCCATCCTGGTTGTAATCTGAAGGCTACTCTGGAGTTTCACTTGTACATTGCCTTTGGTTGACCTTTTGTGCAAGAACTCACTTCATCCAAACCCAGCAGAGATATTGAATACTTTCTTCGCTGTGATAGAAGGTGGCTGTAAAAGAGATAAGGGGACAGGCTGCTGAAAAAAATATTTGTTCCCTAGATAGTCATCAAGATGTACTTTTAGCTCCAGCAGACTTGATGTCTGGTTGGTGCTTCATATTTCATTGTATCCATTGGTGCTTGCTGGAATGAAAGGGAAAAAAATGAACTCCATTCTCTCACTTGGCTATAGAGTATTAAAGATAAGCTTTGATGTGAGATTATGTTGAGGAATACATTTGGTGCTGGTAGCTCAGTGTGCAGTGGCAGTGGAGCTGCAGATTGAGCTCTGGAGCGTGGGAGCCCAAGGCAAGAGGCTGTGACTTGGCACCAACCACCCTTTGCACAACAAAGGGCACAGGAACCTGTGGCTCAGACAGGTGATTAGACACTCAGAGACAGCAGGAACTGAGGGCTCATCAGGAAGAGATGAGACTTTCACGGGCTTGGACTGTGGGGGTATAAAAGCCCAGGACTACCTCTGTTGGGGGTCCCTCCTTGGAGGCACCAGCTCGAGCTATTTCTCTGTTACTGCACCGTGACTAAATTGTTCTAAGGAACCAGACATATGAGTCTGCGCTAAGGGAATCCTGGGGTCGAGCCAGTAAGGATACCTGGTCTGACTCTCAGAGTGAGGAGTCAAGCAAGGCTTAACATGAACCTGTCAGCTCACTGGAACCATCCACTTTGAAGGAGCTTCAGTCTCAGCAGTTAAAATCTCTGGTGGTGCAAGTGTGACTGCCAGAATGTCTCCTGAATGGTCAGACAGGAAAGTTTCCTTAACAGATGGTTTAATTCTTCTACTGCTTGCTTACATAGTGTATTGTAAAGGAGATGTAGCAGATAGTTTGGAAAACTGGAATTCACTTCCAGTTCTATAGAGAGGATTGGAAAGTGGCTGTCCAGAGTAAAAAGTATTTACAGTTCCAGAAACAATAGTATAGGTGTCCTTTCTCAGCCCTTTGAGAAGGTTCAGCTACCCCAGCTGCATCTCACACTGCAGGTCTAGATTTTTGGAACTGATCCTTACACTTACATTCTCCTGAGTCTCAGGCACGTCAGCTGTGCAAGCTGCAGCATCTTTCCTGCACCGTGCTGTGCTGTGTCAGATGGGGCACTGCTAACTTGCAGCACAATGTCAAGGACTCTCCTCCTCATGTGACTACGCCAAATATCTCCCCTGACAGCAATTGCTTTGCTGTCAGAAATACTGGAAAGAAAGGATCTTGAGATGCCTTCCTTGTCCTCTTAAGCGAAGGTCTATGCCTGTCATCACAGACTTGCTGAGGCACTGTAGACTTTACTCTCTACATTTTTTTTTTTGACTTAGCTTTGCAAATGGATTAGATGTAAATCTGCCCAGAGCTTCACACTGCCATAGCAGTAATAGTTATTATTATGGTTCTTGAAATACACTGCTAAGTCTCACAGAGATGAATCAGCTGGCTGTGTATTTGCCTGAATACTTTATAATTATAAGAAAGTATAAAGTCGAAAGATTTGAGGTTCCAGTTATACAATCAATGCAATGCAATTGGCCTACTCAAAAACGGGGAACTGGCAAATGTAATCTTCAATGGTTAGCTGGGAACACTTATTCTGCTGTGCCATACCCTGAAGAAAATACAGTGTATCCTGGAAACTAATCAGAGTATAAATGCAGGATGCTTTGGCAAACAAGGATTAGAGAGAAAATATGATTTGGTTGTATAATAGTGGTTGAGGCTCTGATAGTGAAGAAAGACTGATGATTTGTCTCCAGGTAGAAGTGTTGAGGAAACCTTTTAGCTATGAATGCCTTTCATGGGCTCTGCCAAACAATGCCTCAAGCTCAGAGCAGCTTCCTTGTTAGCTCTGTTGTTCCAGTCATGTCTCTGCTTCTGCCTTGCACATGCATTTCAAATTGTCATTATTTCAAGGTTTGATTCTATATGTTCACTTCTAAAGTGTCTTGGGAGTGAACAGTGATGGAAGCACATGTAGTTGAAGTATAAGGAAAGAACAGGAGGTTACTGGCAGAGGGGTTCCCAGCTTTTTTTTTTTTTCGATGTGATTGCATCCATACTAAGCCTTTTTGGGGTATTCCAAAGTAGTATGTAAGCAGTCACTGTGCAGCTGAAGTCTGTACTGTTTCAAGGGAACAGCATAACCACTTTGACATACAGCTATTTTATTTAATTTAACCAGATGGAACAACCTCATTTAGATTCAGAATACAGCCAATCGTAACACAGGTTTTTTTCAAGCAAGAAAAATTCTACCATAAATATACAAGCTTTATATTTGGGAAGATGGAGAGGAAAATTTTATCATCCATGTGCAAATTTATGTAATCATTTATAATCATCAACCTTCCCAGCTGTGAAGAATATATCTTTTTCTGTCAGTGTATACAGTAGTTTTCAAATGCTAGCTGTGTGTTTTGCTTTCCAGAATGGATGATTCTCTTGGCAGCAGGGGGACATTCTGTAACCTTTGTTACAAAACCACAGTTCTTTAAATTGTGGGTTTCACCCCCTCTGCAGGGCTGCCTTCAGTCCCTACTCAGGCCTGTCCATAGAGAGCACTTCCATTAGCAGTGACAATGACATTGAAGGGTGCAGCCCATGAGTCTGAATATAAAAGAGGTTTCAGCTGCTCAAAGCATCATCATTGCACCTGTGTACCAAGGAGACATGTACACTGCCCTTCCAGTCTAGGGGGAAAACTTCTGCCACTGTAGGTTAGTAAAATTTAAGGTCACAAGATGGCAGCATAATCTCACTAGTGAGGTTGACAGAATTTGAAGGATCAGGTCATTAATCTTCCTCAACTCAAACTCCTGTTTTGAGCAGTCAGAAAGTCTTGTGTCTAACTGGCTGGTGCTTCCTGGGCTCTCTAAACTATGTATATACATGAAAGTGGGTGAAAAGCCTGTTACATCAGGCTTTCAAACTAACCTATTTAATTTACACTTCAATGCACTGTGATAGTATTGACATAAATGGCTCACCAGGAGTTCGATACTGAACAAAAAAATTACACCAGCATGTTATCTAACTAATCAGTAAAAAAGGCAACATTGATGGAACATTGACTTTGCAAAGCCTGTGCAACTGGAAGTCATATTTGTTATATTTTTCCTTCCTTTCTGGTCTTGAGAGCAAGATATTCTGAACCCGGCCTCAAAATACAGATTTCTTACTGAACATTATTTTTTTTTTGTAGTACTACTGAGTGAATATATTCTCTGCGAAGAGCTGATTCATGTATTATTCTCTTTCTGTTTGATGGATATTTAAGTAATCCGTATTCAGTTTTCATCTGTCTGCCTGTCTCCATGTCTCTCTTTCAAAGAGATCTGCCCATTCTTACCATTCGTTCTGTTTGAATGTGCAGTACTTCATTTGGAAAAAAAACCTGTGCTAGGGAGAGATGATTCATCACATCAGTCACCATATTATATAATGCAGAGTGATAACAACTACTGTGAACATTTCTAGCAGCAACATTCCCACTCATGACTTTAAATACTTACCTCAGAAATGCCTGTAAAAATAAATGGAGATATTTGCATATACTTGGAAGAAAAACAAGTAATGAGAGCAAGTCAAAAATCTCTCGATTTTCAAAATTAATTGCAATTTTGTGTGATATTACTGCAGAATTAAACCATGGATTTTTAAGTTCACCTTCCAGGTACACTTTTTTGAGAAGAAGGTAGAATCATAGATTTACCAGTTGCTTGCATCCACCAAGTGATTAGGATGTTTTGGCACAAATGCAATCCATGCTTATGGATATTTACTTGCTAAACTTACAGGTGCATTTCCAATGGACACTTTTGCAAACATTAGGCTTTTGAACATGCACTGAAATCCCAAGTGGTCGCTGGCTTTGGTTTTGTGTACTTGTTCAAATGACCATTGTTCTCATGGAGTTTACTCTCACTGGTCAATATAGTTGTATCTGAGCATGCCTAAGAGAAATTTAATAAAGCGAAAGAAAAATGAGAAAATTGTACTCTGCCCTTTCTACTAGCAGGTCATTTCTGGCCTAAACAATTGGCCACATGGTGTCACTGTGTTTCAAGGCAGCAAAACTTCTAGCAATAAAGCCTTTAGCAATTCCAAGTTTTCAAAGTATCCTAACCATGTGATGTTATCTAAGAAGACACTTCAGCAAAAATGGCAAGGTCACGAAAGCTTCACAGTAGGAGTGTTTCAGGAAGATATTTTATAGAAAACATCTGATTCTCAACTTCTCGTACCTTCCTGGAATACATCAGAAATATTTTTAGCCCAGAAGCACTTGTTCACCAGATGTCTGCATAAGTGAGAATGCTTATATGGAAAGCTTTATCTTAAACTGTTGCAAGTTAGAAATTTAAAAATTCAGTGGTGTGTCCTACACTTTAGTCATAGTCCTTCTTTTCTTCTGTCTTTGTATATCTGAATGTGCAACAACTTTTGACTTTGCTAAACAGAGGTAACTTGGCCTTATGGTGCTCAGAGTAATATAAACTGCAGCTCCTGGGACCCACAAAATACTGTTTAATCCCTGCTGGCTCTGAAGAATGCTTTGCAGAACACACCTGCTCAAGAGAGCTGTGCCAAAAGCTGATGTATTATGTGTTTAAAGAATCTCATGATGTACAGCTATAGCAACAGTGAGAGAAACCTTTGTGTACAGATACAGTATGAGCCCTTAGCCAAGAAGATGATATCTGGCTCAGGGCATGTCGAAAG